GGGAGGAAGCAAAGCGGGGTGTTGCTGTCTGTTTGGGGCGTGCTTGTGTGCAGGTTCCATTGCTTGTGACGCCCGGAGAGAGCGTGACGGTTTTTTCTCTCCTGCGCCCACATGCACTGGAAGTATGCGAAGCTGAATCGTGAGGAGTTAAAGGAGCCACACCGCTGTCTTGAAGAGGGGAAGGGAAATGGGGATGCGATGGTCCTGAGTGAGTGCTTGCTTGTGGATCAGGTGGATGGCCCTTGGGGAAAGAATGCAGTGAGTGCAGGGAACCCCTCGATGACACTACTCATGTGGGTGCGGGGACTGCGACACACGATGCCAATTTTCTCGAGTGTGGGAGGGAGCACGGCGGTGCCGGTGCTGGGCAGTCTCCGCGAGAAAAGTGAGTACATGACACGGCAGTTGTTGTATTGATGTCGGGTATGTGTATGTCGTAGTGCGATACACGGAGAGACAAGGGAGCAGCGGTGGTGGCAGTTGACACCAACGGAGCGAAGCGAAGGCCACACTGTGTGTTAGCCTCGCTGAGTTCCAACAACACTTTGTGCTCCTCTCCGTTTCTCTCACTTCTCCTATTGGTTTCCGCGTTTTACTTTTGGTGGTGAGACGCGACGGGGTGGTATGCTTCACTTGGGTTCCTTTTCTTTCCTAATTTTATGTTGTATTAATTTGCACCCCATTTGTCACTTGATCGTGTGTCGCTTCGTTGCGTGTTTCTTCCTTTTGTGCAGGTGCAGGAGTAGGCGTGCGGGGGGTGCCCGGCTCGTGCATAGTCTCCAACTCTGTGCGGGGAGGCCCCTCGGGTGCTGGGTCGCCAATGCATATCTGCTTTACGGAGGTGTGGGAGCGTAATAATTCATCCGGGGTGGGGGAAGGGCGACTTTGCTTTCTGCGTCTCTCCCCCATTCTGCTCTTTGTTGTTGCGTTGCTGCGATGGGGGCTCTGACACACGAGTCGTGTGTTTTTTTTTCTTTCTCTGGCAGCCTCTGGAGAAAATGTGCAGCCAGGTGAGGCGAAGCGGGCCCTCGTTGGTCTCTGTTCAACTTCCCCGCTCCTTCACTGGTTGTTTTGTTTTTGTTTCCAACGGCGCCGCGGTGGGAGTCGGTGCGTGCGTTTCTTTGGTTCTGCTCTTCTTCCTGCTTCTCACCACGTTCGCGCAGAGGGGCGCTGCGGCTGCGGGTCCCAAAGACTGCCACTTCCTGCCCTCACAAGGGGCCGGGTTATCGTAGCGTATGTTTCATGCATTCGTTTGCCTGTGGCTGTGTGGGTGTGGGATGACTCCTCTCTCAGATGGGGGCGGGGGGGGGGGGGAGTGGTCGAGTGTATTGAACCACACTGTGATCCCGCACCGCCGTCC